TAAAAGCCCGAACTTGTCGTCTATTTCCAAGAGTTTGAAGGCGCTTCTGCATCGAAAGTTTTGAGCGTGTGAAGCTTTGACATACGGATCTTTCAGCTGCCGCAGCACCCAGCGCTGCTCTGTTGCAGTTTTCCCTTTCAGCTTCTTCATGACACTCAGAGAGCAGTGAAAACATCTCCTCCGAACAGAAAATATCCACATTTCGCTTATTCTACTATGTATATATATTCCTATTCCATCAACTGCGCTTGCGTGAAACAGAGATCTCAACGTGTGCTACCTATTTGGGTCCCCTTTATTTTTGAAACAGAACGAGAAAACATCAGTTCCTATGTTGAGCAAATTCATCCCATGCTTTAAATTTAAGTTAATTTAATATTCATATTTTAATTGTATGCATTTATTATCAAAGACCTTAGTGTACATGGTGAATATCTGCATACTATTGCATTCTCAAAAAAGGAACTTTTGATGAATAAATAAACATCTTGCTTTCAAAAATAAACTCACTGGTCAAAGTACTACTTATTAGGATACCTGAAATTCACTGAATAAATGCCATTTCATCACAGAATAAATATCCAGTGTATGGCTTCTATTGTACCTAATAATTTGACATTAGGCTGTGTAAATTGTCTGTAAAACAAAGGGTGCCACTGATAATTGCTTTATTGGTGGCAAATGTGTCCTCATGATTTATTTTATTACATTTATTTTAATTTGTATTTTAGTTCTTAATGGTTCTGTTATTATTACAATGTATTACAAATATCAAAACATGAAATAAGAAAGTGAATTTTGGATGTTAGGACAACTGCTTAGCAAAATATGGCAGCACCAGTTTCTGAAAACGGGGCAAAAAAATCCTTCATTTTTCTAGTCGGACATGTTTCAAAGTGACACTTGCAGTAGATCCTACAACACAATGATGGGCCACATGCGTTGAATCTGACATTGGTCAGACCGATCCTTTTGTTTACAAATCTTGTTATCATGTGACGACATCTGTATTCTCCACGCGGGAGTCTTTCGTGAGGTGGACTGTTTTCCTGAATTAAAGGTACTTGTTTGATCTTACCTTGTTCTGCAATATTTAATGACAACGTTGGTTAGCATCACATGTTGCAGGAACTGATGCTTACTGGTCATTGTGGGGGGTTCTGTTGCTCAGAGAGTTCTTTCTTCCTCTCAGGTAAGATGTTGACTTCCAAGCTGCTCACTCTGGTCCTGGTGGTCCAGCCAGGTAGAGTGCTGCTGGGCATGAAGAAGAGAGGCTTTGGTGCTGGCAAGTGGAACGGATTTGGGGGCAAAGTTCAACCTGGAGAAACCATCGAGGAAGCAGCTAGAAGGTATAATAATTAGAATATTTATTTAATTTAAAGTTAATGTGGTTTGTGTTAAAGGGTGACGTAAGTATATGATCTAATCTAAATCATTGCATGTATTAAATTCATAAGCAGACAGCTTATGAAGTTAATATTTGTCCAAAAGTATTATTACACGTGTGACAGTTAACAGAGAAATCCAAGTTGATCCAGACAGCTTCAGACAATTCAGTACAAAAAAAGGTCCGTCTTGAAAAGTCAGCAAATTCCGTAAATTTTTGATTAAACACAAAGCCTCACTAGAGAGGAACATCTCCCTTTCAATGAGCCAACTCCACCAGAACCAGGTTCAAGGCGGATGGCAATCTACAGCTCCCTGATGGGATTGTGTAAAATGGAGAGACTTTAAAATTTTAAAAAGAGAGGCATAATTTTGTTGTGCTTGCAAAGTACAACTGTTTTACAATTTTGGGATGAGACATTCAGTATATTTATATTTAAAAACAAAGGCAGTGGGAGTAGGCTGTTGAGAGTAACAGAAAAAAAGAATTGCGAATGTTTTGCTAGGACAAATAAAAAAATAATAAAGGTATTAGCCGGGACAATATATTATTATTCCAGAAGTGAGAGAGCACAGCCCTGAAGGCATTTAGACCAAAACTCTCCAAACAAACAGAGAAAACTGCTTTCTGTGCAGGGTGTTTAATAGTTACATTATTCATAATATGCAAATATATTTTGCTTCTGTGTTGTTGAGCATCTGTTCTCAGAGCTTTTGAAATGGAAAGTGTAAGTCTCTCTGTCGCATTTATATAAGTTTTTGTTTGGGCCACAGTTGGCTCCCAAAGCTTCACAAAGTTAAATTTGAAAAGCGCCTCTGGAATCAAGCTGTGCACATTCAAGAAATAGTGGCAGTAGTTTTCATCAAAGAGAAGTAGCATATTTTAAAACACATTGGATGTAATTTATCAAAATGGCCCCAGTAAAATAACAAAATTGTATGCTTGACTTTTAGTTTGACAGAATAGGATATATTTTGTATTTAAAATAGAATGATTTTTTTAGATGGCTATCACTAAGCTCCCGCTTCTTAAATATAGAGATGTTGTACTTGACACAAAATGTGGACTATTTATAAGAATAATTGTTGGTCATTTACACAGCATTTAAAACCTGGCCTTGAAATCTGTGTGTAAACACGTACAGGATACGTCAAACTCTTTAACCTCTAAGGTCCTGCACTGAACAGATTGACAAAGAAAAATATTCACAAAAGAACATCTTCTCATTCATCATCACAGTACAATAAAGCCTTAAACTCAACCTATATTGCACACCGCAAGAGAATAACTATCTCATCCAGGAGCAATGGCTTTGTGGATCAAACTAATTTTTTGTCCTTAATGATGAGTGGCGGCTATATTAAACCTATCATCAAAGCAAATGTCATTGCAATTAATAATGCAGGTCCACTCTACAGTTTTGAATACTGGGATATGTCTGTGGAAAATCTGGGATGCAGGCATTCAAAAAAAGAGACAGTGTGGGTTGTTATGTTGAAATAAGTCGCATCATTTTGGCCTGTTCAGCTTTGCACAATATAGCGCTGGACAGATGACCTTAATTTGATGCACTGCAGCTATATTAACTGCGCTGAGTGTGATAGCTATCAAGACCAGGTCTACCAAGTCTAAAATATCATTCATGACTAACATAAGATTTCATAATTGTTTTGATTGTTAGCTACTTCAACTAGTGGAAATCAGGGCACCCAGATAATGTGATATCATATAAAATAACAGTGGAGTTTCTGAATTTCTTGATCAGTCTTTTAGGTTTCATGCTTAGCTTTCTCTTGTATTCTATGTGTTCTACAAAAAACTTTAGGCCGTTTTAGTCTCCATATGAAAGTGCACTTGCACAAATACAACCAATATTTTTTTTATTCTTCCCTTTAGGGAACTTCAGGAAGAAAGTGGCCTCACAGTGGACCTTATCGACAAAATTGGAAATCTCAAATTTGAATTTGTTGGAGAAACAGAGATCCTTGATGTCCACGTCTTCAGAGCTGACACATATAAAGGTGAACCAACAGAATCAGAGGGTAAGACTTTCTCTTAAGAAACCAAAGTAAATTCCTTTAAAAAGGTGGAAGTTCATTAAAAAACTGGGGGAATAACCTTTGTGAACACTGTTCCATGTTTCAAGGAATAGATGTAAGAAAAAGCAAATGTTACCATTTTGGTTTCAGTTCCTTTTAAACTTGACTTCCTTTTAATGTTATTATAAACTCAGTCTCAGTCACAGTTTCTACAGTTTGTAAGGTTGAGAGGCATGTCTGGATTTGAGTCTTTTATGGCCCTTCAAAGTTTAAAGTAAACGCAGATAGTGAAGATTCAAGGTGACGTTAGTAAGCTATAAGTAGGCATTGCTAATGACTACTTGTAGCATTAGCAATGCTACTTGTAGCTTACTAATGTTACAAAGGCAAAATCCAGGTGCATCCCTTGATGAGTTAACTACTTGTCTTTTGCTTGTATGATTCATAGGGGAAATAATTGTGTTAGTATATTGAGATGAATCTGAAAATTACTTAAAAACAAAACATTTTGAGAAAATACAAAAACAACTAAATGCAAACAACTCATATAGCACAAAATATTTTCAAAAACCTAAAAAAAAGACATTCAATCTACGATACCATATTCTTTACAATTCCCTACAAGAACAGTGATTGAATTAAAGATGGTCACCACAGGGGGTGGGAGGATAGGTTTAGGTGTTATTTTAGAAAGAAGGCTTAAAATGTGTCAGTGCAAAGATGGATTTAAATACTTGGCAGTCCTGTTTGTTTTGTGAGAAATAAGTCAAGGTCAACAATGTGGAGACCAAACATACAAAGATACAGAGAAGCATTGCAACACCTTGATTCTTTTCTTTATTCACTAACTCTGTTCTAGATTTGCTGTGTTTGGGATTGTTGACCAGTTGCATTGTCCAATTTAGAAAAAGCTTGATTTGTCAGATAGCCACAAATTTGACTCTAGAATACTTGTGTAAAAATGGCATGGTCTTCTCAGTGACTGCAAGACACCACCAAACTTTACAGTTGTATGAGGTGTTTATTTATGTTTTTATCTTTTGAGTTTTGTTCAGCCATCTGTACATTGATCATGTATCTGAAGAACACATTTGAGTTGTTAAGTATGATTAATTTTTCCATTTCTTGTGTTTTATAGAAATGAGACCTCAGTGGTTTGACTGTGACAAAATCCCTTTCAGTCAGATGTGGGCCGATGATGTCTTGTGGTTCCCTTTGATGCTACAGAAGAAGAAATTTGTAGGGTATTTCAAGTTCCAGGGTGAGGACGTGATTCTCAGTCACAAACTGGAAGAGGTTCAGGAGCTTTGATGTCAAACCTTGTAGTATTTTATGTTTTGGACTATGAGAAAAAAAGTTTGGTGTTTAAATTTTGACAATTATTACTGAAAGTAACAGTTGCTGTCCACTGTTCATTTAGTGAAAGGAATGAGATGATCATTTGGGTAGGAAGAGGAAGCGTTTACTGTACACACTTTTCAACTGTAACGAGTGGAATAAAAAAATGTTTCTGTAACCCGTCTCATTGGATTTTTATTGATAAATCAGCATGTTAATCAAAGCAGCAGTAGCAGCAAGTTGAAAGCAAGTTTATTTCTGAACTAACAAAACTCTGCAAAATGTATTCAGTACAATATATTTAGTTTTTAATACAAAATAGAGCGTTATAGGTCCACTGGGTTTAATATTGTTGGTTGTTAAACTTGGTCCTTAACAAAACAAATGTGTTTATGCATACAATGTATTCACAGTCCTGGCAAATATAGTTTTAAAATAACTTGAATTCAACCACATGTTTGATTTTGAATGGCAAGGTCATTTTGAGGTCCATCCACATATTTAAGTCAGCGTCACTCCAGAATGTTAACATTACATCCAGTAAACAGAAACATGTTTGAAAAAGTAAGATAACTTTAAACCTAACTCTACTAGGGTTTTATATTTATGCATCCTATTATTGGTGTCATTAACAGGCATTTCTAGTGTATGAATCTCATTGTTATACCCAGATTCATTAATCGTGATAATCAATGCTTTTACAGTGCCTGCAACCTTTGCTGTGTCCAGATATATAATGATCAATTTGTGGTTAAGGATTTGCAAAGTATCTTTAGGTTTATTTGGAGTGTCCTTTATTTACCAGAAGTTGTTTAAAATATGTTCTTGTTTCTAGTCACTTTTTTATGTCCAAACATAAAACAAAAAGAAAAAAAACAGCATTGTCAATATAAACAACGCAGGTATGTAGCATTGATACATCCAGAAAGACTGAAATCTCAGTGTCAGCATCTTAGTGTCCAACTTCTGAAAAGCTGTAAACAGATCATTTTGCATCAGAATGAGTGAACATTAACCATTTTAGATCCCTCTTATAATACCTTGTTACTGTGCTTACATCTGTAAAAGTTGATTCTGAAATGAAAACATCACAGAACACAAATTTACACGTAGTTAATCGCAGTAGAGAGTAGAAACCATCTTACTGAATGGAAATAGGAACAGTTGTGATTAAAACATTTTCAGGCATTAGCTCACAGAGCTCTTCATTTTCCAGTTGGTGATCTTCCTCTGTAGGTGATCTTCCTCTGTAGGAGTGTTTATCTTCTGCTTTGCATGCGTTTTCAGATTGGAGGTTTCAGTCCATTATTACTGCCAAAGAAACACCCGAGCTTAGGTTGGAGTTCATTCCACACATCACCCATCTGATAAGGAAAAGAAAAAAAAGTTTCTTTATGTTAAATGAATATTTTTAGGGTTCCATAACTAAATGCTGAAAAACTTCAGGTCCAAAAAAAAAAAACTAATCCAAAAATTCAACCGGACTTAAATATAACAAAAAGACAGACTTATATCTATATAGAAATTATATATATATATATATATATATATATATATATATATATATATATATATATATATATATATTTTTTTTTTTTTTAAACAGAAAGAGGACATGCTGTATGTGATATGCACTTTTTCAAGGGAAATATATGGTGGCTCTAATCCAGTCACACATCCTTCAGTATTAGCTCTTTTGTTAGACCTTAGGAGCCAATCTAAAACTATATTGGCCATTCCCACTAAAGAAGTGCTGAGTCGACATCAAGGTGAGCTGGAGAAAAACCCATTTCCATACACTCTTACCTCTCTGTGTCCTTGGACCTGCGAGTTAACGAAAGCCCCAAGAATGTTGGCAGTGATTGGAAGGTAGGTGAAGATAAGCTGTGTCTCTTGATGAAGGCAGAACAGGGAGAAATAGTTGCGGAGCTCCATGGTCTGGATGGCACTTTCTTGCTATTAAAAAAATTATGGCAAAACCGAAAATTGATGATTAATGTCAAATGATAATGAAAAAGATGCAAACAAGAGAAAACTAACAAAAAGAGACGTGTTGCCCAGATAATCTTGGAATGCACAGTGTCTGGACCTTTTACTTTGCTTGTGAAATGCTTGCCTTTTTTACTTTTATTTGACTGAATATATTACTTTTTGCAACTTCTTGCCTTGTTTATAATTTAAAGACTTAAATGCGTTTTACCTTTCATTTTGCTTTTTCATTTCCTGTAAAGCAATTTGAATCCCTTAATATTGGTGCTGTGTCAATAGCCTTCCCTTTCCTTAAAGTTTTTCATTACACAACAGCTGTTAGAAAAGAATATTCTCATAGTTCAATGTCATTTTGGCAGTACGGCAGGATTGGTACTTCTATAAATACCAAAATCTTCTCTTTAACACATTTCTTCAAGACAAAATATTTTTATATTTGACAGGTGAAGCTTAGTAAAAACCAAAAATGGAGCTCCTAAAACCAACCAGGAGCCCAACAAAACAGCATTTGTAATACAAGAATGTTATAGCCTTCAGAAATCACAAAGTCAGCTGACTCGACAGATGTTCAGCAGGCAATATTCTACAAAACGATATGGCACAAAGTTAATTAGTAAAGAAGCTAGCCATTTACAGAGTGCTCTGTTAATGAAAAATTGAATGGAAGGAAAAAAATGGGTAGACAAGCAACAGGGATAATAGCAAATGTGCTTGCATAGGATTCTGAAACAAAACCCAGTCAAGAGTTTGGGACATTTCACAGGATTTGGACTGTGGGTGGAGTCAGTATCTTGGGAGCCACGACACACAGATTTATCAGAGACATGAAAAGCCATCTACCAGGATATTTCCAAGCATCTTTCCTTCTACAGACAAGCTTTAGAGGCCAAGTCCATTTTTGAGTAGAACATTGCACCTCTCCACTCCACACAGTGGAGGGTTAGGGTTATCACAGTTTTTGATAGAAAACTATATAGAAGCTAACATCTGTTGGCCAAAATTTTATGTGTCTAAGAAACATAAGAAATGTTGAGCCCACGAGCCTCACATCTTAAAATAAGCATTTCTATCACTACTGAAATAGATTAACTAAATAAAATGCTAAAGCATTTCATAAGTGAAGAAATGCCAAAATATAGTAATAATTTTACATAACAAAATTGCACATTTGTTTCCCCAAAAATGCTATTTGTTAAGGGAAATGAACTGAAAAATGTGTTTAAATGGCAAACAGACTAAGCACACTGGCTGAATTCAGAAGATTAAAAAAAACACCAAGAAAATTAAAGTATAAAGTAAGTTAATTACCTTCTTAACATGGACTCAGCTTTGAACCAGTGTCTGAAAATTTCCTTTTAGTCTGCAAATGAGTCTGTGATTTACCACATTAAATTAAATGTGTTCAAAGAGTTTAAAGAGGAGACTATACTTTTTGAAGATTATCCAGTCAGAGTGAGAGTGTTTTTGTGCATGAAAACGGTCTTAGGAGTTAAAAGGTCTGAAGTCCACATCAGAACAGCCTGCCCCAGCTTTGAATCCTGGCTTTGCTTCCTAACAGCACCATTAAATGTATGACCAGTCACCTTCAACCATGACAGTGCTTTTACTGCCATTTTAATAGCTTATGTCACGACTGAGATGAAACAACTTTTGCAAAGAAAGTTTTAGAATTAGGCAAACAAAATTAAACTGAAAGAATAATCACCTGAACGATTCGTGATTCCAGCTGCTCTACAGAAGCCTGCTCTTTGGACTGAACAGTGGCACTCATCATCTGCCTTTTCATCATGCTGTACTTGTGCAGCGCTTTTTGGTGCTCATGAAGCACGCCCTTTTCATGACGCTCGCAGAGATCCTAGAGGGAAAAAAGGAAGAAAGAAAAAAAAAAAACACAGGCAGCAGCTCTTACTGATTGACTGAAAGTGGCGGGGTGAAGCACTTCTCCACAACATTATATAACAGATGAGTGACAGGAGAAGCATTGGGACAAAAGTATGGATAACTTAAAGTACTTTGACAAACAAGAGCTGCAATTTTATAAATCCATATAGTTGAAAGTCATTCCCACAAATAAAAGTTCTGTTCTTAAAAGGAGAAACTATAAAAAAAAAATTAATAAATAACATAATGTGGCTGTTAAAGATTTTAGGAGGAGATGATGGGAAATAATTTTCAAACTCTTTTCACTTTTATTATGACAATGCAAATGACAAACATGTAAATATGTGTTGGAGTTGAGTAGTAAAATAATAAAGTGCAATAACCATGTTGCATAACTGTGTGTACCTTTGAACAAATACTTTGTTAAAAAATTATGATTCACCTTCAGCAATCAGCCTTCTTAAGATGCCACTTGTATTTAAGTACAGCTGAACTTGAGATAAAGTTATCGTTTTGGGATTTTCTTAGTAAAATTCACAATTTAGAGGTAGGAAAAGATGATTGGAAGTTGACTAATGTGTCAGTTCTGTTGCAAAACGTCCTGCGGAACTATATAAAAACAACTGGACATAAATGTGAGAAAATGAAACAATTGAGATATTCCAGAAACTCTCCAAAATTAATTAAATTTAAAAAAGACTAGACTGAAGCTGGCAATTATTGAACATGTATAAATGGCCATTGTTGAACATGTAAAACCAACAAGTTCTGGTTGTGTTCTATATATGACAATTCTCTGTATTCTTCATATTTCTGAACTAAGTCGTGTCGCAAGACATAAGAATTTAGGAACCACTACCTTAAGAAATAATGTGTTAAAATTTGGTAAAACAAAAATATACATTTTTGAGCTGCAATTCCAAATTGAATGCACACAATAAATATTGTGTATTACAAAATGAGCATCAAATCCACAGTGGAAGCACCAGGCAGTGGAGTAACTTGGCTTAAATACCAGTCAGTTTTTACCACCATAGGGTCTGCTACAAAAATAAAGATAAGGACACGCCTCATTTTAAAGGAAGAAAGGAAGTTCAAGTGCTCTCTCCAAACAATGAAACAGTGTTACATTTTTGGAAGGAGCCAAGTGACATTTAACTGTGGAGAGGCTTCACAATTTCAGCTTTCTTGCATGTCCAAATGGTAATATTAACAACATAGTTACTTCAATGGTAATTGTCTGCGATGCTTTCAACAAGCAAATGTTCGTTACAGTAGAATAGTTTGGTTTTGGAGGGGAAATGGAAGATTGTTACACCAATGAGTTATTTATTAGCATCATTGCTGATATCTTCCCCTCTGCGCATTATGGTAGCCAACTCCTGAATGCCCTCACTTATGACTACAATATCCAGGATTAAAAGAATTTTTCACAGTGTAGACATACCACATTCCTGTCTCAGCACAAAAGAAATGAAAGTCAAGCTTGCTCACTCTGTATGACTGCAGCAAATCTAGGAAAAAGTTCAGTTTTTCCACAACATCGTCCTGTTCCCGTCTGCCCTGGAGACATAAACAGAACAACATTTATCATCAAATTTTAGGAACAAACACAGCGGGCATATTCTCAAGGTTGTACCTGTTGAGCGGCTTTGTTGGATAAAACTACAAACTCCTCCGACAGGCTTTTCAAAGACTGGCGCAGAGTTCCCCAACCGGTTTGGGAGGAGGCCAAGGAAGGAAGAGCCGACGCATCTGAGCCCAAAGCACTGATGAAAACATTAATATAAGAAAAGAATAAAATATTGTAGGATTCAGGCTACTCAGAATTTAATCCTTTTGCAAAAGCCGTAAATCCTAGAGGATGATTAACTGTATATCCTTCATAATAAAAAATACCTAAGCTCTCGACCAAACTGGACCAGATCAGTTGAATTCTCCATTGAGCGCTCAGCCATTTTTTCAGCTCTGTCCCGCAGTCTCTGGAAGCTGTTGTGGATATTTTTAATCAGCTCTCTGCTTGTTGAGAACTGAGCCTGAATGTCTGCTGGGAGATATTCCTGCAAAAGAGGTCCAACAAAATCTCCTCCGTTATGTTTACAGTTTTTAAATGAAAGTAAAAGCAGTAGGGAAAAAGTACACTTGGAGTCACCATATCCATGACGAACCTTAGCTTGGGTTGCAATCCTGTTGGTCATAAACTCGTCACCCGTTTTCTTGCAAGTGTCGCGCAGCTTGGTCTGGACATCCTGTTTGCGAAGGGGGGTGACGAGTGGGTGAGTGGAAAAGGACAAAGTGTGAATCAAACAGGATGTGCTCGGCTCCCGTGCGTCGTGAAGATAGTGCTTATTGTGCATGCTTGAAAACGTACAGAGCCGCTGTAGGTGAGAAAGGTCTTGACCAGCTCATCCTCGGAGAAGAGGGGGTGGCGAGCCACCAAGTTAAGAAATCTCATTAGAGCTCGTCTTCTCCCTTCAATGAACTCACGCTCGGACATAGAAGTTAGGACTGTGAATAAAAGAAAAAAAAACAATATCTGGAGTTTTACTTTAGAAGTAAATGAACAGTTTAGCTCAAGAGTCAAGTGCTCATAGTCCCAAAAGGTTGATCTAAATGCAAAATTTCTTCCCTGTAGATTCTTAGATCTCAGAACATATAGTGTTGGCTAGAAAATGGTCAGTTAAGACCAAAAATCTTAGACCAAAATTCAGTCTTACAGTTATTCTTTGTCATGGCCACACACAAAAGAAGAGTTGCTAGAGATACCATTATCCCTGACCTTTTAAGTCTTAAAAAAAAACAGATAAAAATGGTTTAGTGTAGATAAGAACCAACAAAAAATTCCCAGAGAAGCAGCTGGAGCGGTAATCAGAGGGCATACAGTGAGTCATATCAACACTGAGGGAAATTACAGAACCTGTATTCTAAAGCAACATCACAGCTGGAACTAGCATAGATCCAAACATTAGCTTAAGAATTAATCTCAAGAGATTATCAAATCTATTGTCGTTAAATCATCAAAACAACATCATAGTGTTTAACTGGGAAATGATGCCTCTTATCATTCTTGTAGAAGCATTTGTTGTGCACATGAAATGAGGGGGCAGGGCGAGTAAGCGATAATACAAGTATTAATTTGGATTAATTTGTTACTAATCTCTTCCTCCTGTTGGATATGAAATGTGCTTTATACAGACAGACTGATAGGACATAGGGTAACACAAACAACCTTAAATAAGTACACAGCACAACCATATAAAATTGGTGTTGATTTGTTCATTTCAAATGAACAGAAATATTTAACAAGTTTCACAAATCTGAATAACAAAGTTCCATGTGTCAGAATCAAAAGAGGAACAGAGATAAAGCTATCAGAATGATACATTCAAAGAATCTATTTTTTCTAAAACCACAGCTAAACACCATAAATCCTTATTGAATAATTCACATAACTATCACTAAAGCTTTAAGTCTTCAGGAATTGAAACTTTATGCATCGGTGGTTTATGTCTGTCAGACAAAATGACTAGAAAAAAAAATTCTTATGAGTCTTTGTCTTTTAATAGACTTTTAAAAGCTGGAATTTCAAACTAAATTATTAAACAAATCAAAACTTTATGAAATTCTGATGCAGAACACAAATCTGGTAAATATAACAAAACAAATAGAGACCTAACAGTGCAGTTCACATAGAAACCCACCTCCCTTCAGCATCCTTTTGGGCGGCAGTGCCGGAACCACTCTGTAGGCAAATTTCTGCAGCAAAACTTCGTGGAAGACGTCAAAATCACTGTACCGCCTGTATACTGATATTTTGTAACGCTAAAAAGTAGAAACAATGAAACTGAATTACAAAATAAGTATGAGCACAATTGATTTGATATGGATTTGTGCAAACAACTTGATAAGAAGTGGAGTATTTTCAACATGATACAATAACAATATTGCAGATTTTAATTTCCTTGCCTGGCTGGTGACCTGGTATTCCACATGCTTAAGGAACAGGCCCTTCTTCTCTGGAATAAGCTGCATCTGGATTGTGTCTTTGGTGAGAAGCTGTTCAAATGTCTGTGAAATGGTGAGCACGTCGTCCTGAGCCGGCTGCATCCTCAGAGCGCCCAGTTCCCTCAGCTCTCCGAGTTGGGGTTTTGGCAACTCTGTAAATCACACATTTCAGAGCTAACATTTGTTCTCCGTGATTGAATCAATACTTTATGAGTGACTAGAATTTCAAAGCCCTTCAGAATGCCCAGTTTATAACAGTGCTCTTGACAGTAATCCATGTGACCTTTTATGATTCCTTCCAGGACATTCTAAGACAGCTGTGCATAAAATTCAATTTACTGAGGCAAACTCAAAGAGAGTTCTGGCAAAGAACAGGAAGTGGCATGAAGCAAGTTGCCATACTGCCCACACCTGAAAAAACAAAACTGGATTCAACACTAAAGCCTGCAGATGGATCCAAGTCAAGTCTGCATAATAGTTACCTTTAGGAAAACCATAAAATATCCCTCTATCATCATCCCACAAAGAGGGAGGGAAAACACAAGTGCACCTTGCACTTATACAGCAAACTGCAAAAACAAAAATATTTATATTCTTTGAACGTCTCCATATTTAGTTTGTTATGCAAAAGCATTTACTTTCAGAAGACACTGGATTTGTACATCAAGTACATCTGTATGTTATTTAACCCTGGTCTAAATGTAGCTGTTCTTTGAAGGCCTTTAAATCCATTGAAAATATACTCGACAATACTTGAAAATGTATGTTTGCAGATACTCTCCACCCAGCCTGGGCTATTTGTAAAGAAGAATGTGCAAAAATTTCTGTGCAAGATATTTTCATCCACTTTCAATAAACATGTCTTGTTGTTCATTCATATAAAGTACATCAAAGATCCAGGTTGCAAAGTACAAAAGTTAAAGAGATATAATTACTTTCATAAGCCACTGTAACCATAGACTCCCAGCACATGTTGCAGCTTTGTGACATGTGCTGGGAGAAGAAATAATGGAGGATAATAAATATACATCAAAAAGGCTTTTCTAAGATATTCCCAAACATACATCACTTGCTAACTGAGGTAAAGTTGCTGTTGAGTTTATGCTACTTGGAAAAAGTGTCAAGAAAAACTTCCATGAGAGCTAATAAAAGAGTCATTTGCACCTTGCACATGAACAAATGCTGCATTTCATCCAAAGGCCATCTTTGGACACCAAGCTACTCATTAAGCAGAAACCTTTACTATTCTGCTGTCACTGCAACACAGTCACTTACCATGTATGAAGAGTTTAGGACTTGGTTTTTTCCCTTGCTGGGCTAGAGCAATTAAAGCTAGCGCTTTATAGAGGGTGAGCTTAGTAAGGAATCCATCTGTACAGTCAATATGTTCAGCAATCTGAAAAAAAAAGGTGAACAGAGACAATATGAAAGAGAAGGTCAACATTTTTCCGTCTGAGATCCCACTTTAACTGTGGTTTGCATTCCTGTGTGCACAAAGCTCTCACAAGGCACAAAGCAAATGATATGCTACAAAAGGTCAGAAAAAGGGGAATGATGCCTTCAGGGAATTCACCGAGTTACATCCCTATTAAATATTTCATCTTTAATTTCCAACAAAAGATATTTAAGCTTTCTGCCTTCTCAGCATCTTGAGGAACTCCTCACCTGGCTGAGAGATGCCTTGGAGAGACCGGTCCTTTCCAGGAGGCGCTTAAAGACTTCAGCCTGCACTCTCTCATCTGTCCTGCAGCGGATGGCCTCATACACTTCTCTGTAATAGGCAGGAACTGAACCTAAAAGGGGAACAACACCTACATATTATCACATGTTCCTCAAAATGATAAATATTTCATATGCATAACACCCAAGAGGTTACTTTGCATAAATGACATCAGTAAAAGAAAGATTTTCATTTTGAAAAGGATAGTGGACACATCATGTGACTTTGTCTTTTCTTTTCTGCGAAGACAACTTTTATTTGCTCTATTTTAAAATGACGAGGATGGACTTAAATTGAGAGAATTAATAATTTGCAAATATTTAAAGAGATTAAAAAGAAGAATGCGTGATATAACATTTTAAGTAAATCCTTCAAGACACACCTGACAGGATTTCAGGAGGAAGGGAAAAACCAACGACTTGTCCTGATCTTTCTGGTCATGGCTCAAGAAAGGAGCAACAATAGTTTGGGGGGAATAATTGAGAACATGGATGAGAGCTTTTGAGATGGAACAACCTGTTTCCGATCGACCACTGAAAACTTTTCATGAGGTGAGTTCAAATCGCAATCTCAGCGTGCAGTAAAATCCACGCGTTTTGACGCGCGAGCTTCGCAAATACGCCGAGAAAAGTCACAAAAAATCACATGGAAGTCACTGACTCAAGAGAGAGTGAGAAAAGTTTTCACACGTTACCTTCATTGATCTCTCCTGCCATAGCTCGGGCTGTCATGTGAGCACAAGAGCACCTCCATGTGATTTCCTGCAGAGAAGGAAAAACAAGTAATTTGCGTCTTAAAGTTACAGTGAACCCTGGTTGAAGCCCAAGTCCTGATGACGTGAAGCCAGTTGCCACCTCCACGCTCTGGAAGCTGGTGATGCCACGGCAGCTTCACCACTTAGGGGATTTTTAAAAGTTTTGGGGGCGTGAGTCTACGTCTCGGTTTCATTAAACATTACCCAATTGCATTGTGTAGTCTATATTCTACCAAAAATATGAACCATAAGTGGTTTTACATATAATTTATTATTTCCTGGTCTCACCAGCGCAGGTTTATTTGATTTAATCTCTGTTCCTCAATCTCCACAAATATGCCTGCATAACAAATGGTGCATTCAAGTACACCTCGTAGATTTTTTTTTTAAAACGTGACAGCTTTTAAGACAGAGTTCATTGCAAGTCATCCCTTTATGTGAGCTTTGCCAAGAATAATTAATTAATTAGTGACGATCTGTTCTCTTAATGCAAACATCAGGTGTATTCTGAATATTTTATCACGAATAAAGCTTTCTGATGTCTAACCCTTTTTTGAATGGATTCCGTGAGAAAGAAACGTAATTTTTTTTTTTTTAATAAATAAAAAACTTTTATAAAAGTATTAAATGCCATTTTGAGTAGTGGGAGAAAGACGTAAAGTGATCAACAGTCTCCAGTTTGTCGCACTGGCACATAAAGGTTCTGTTGGGAACATCAAACAATGTGTTGATTATTGAATGTATTCTGGATTTAACAGAGAACAAATGAAGTGAATAAAAATTGCAACAATATGATTTCTCCTTTTAATTCTCATGAAATCTCTTGTGACAAATGTTTAAAGCAACTAATGCATAGAGTTCAGCTGTATCACTCTTTGACAGTGTTCTTTTAGTTATGGCAACATTGCACAGGTGAACAACAGATGTCAAAAACCCCAGCTAATTTAACGAGCATTTCCTGGTGAAATAAACACTAGGGGTGTACTTTTGTAGCTCTGAAAGTTAATTTTATGCAATCCAGGAAAAATGACTGAATGGAAAAGTCATACAGGCGTTTGTCTTCAGGAGGTCCTTGTAGTGTAAAAACTGAAAAACTCATTGTAGCCTACTTGTCAGAGTTCAGTGGCATCAACAACAATATGTTCTTTAGCCGAGGTATGTAATTGGAATTTCTGGAGAAATTTAGAGTATTCCTGGAACATATCAGTTTTATTCAACAATTGCTCAACTAAGGTAAACATTTTTCTTTGTATTTGCCTGGATAATAAAACGGTGATTTAGATATGATGTCATTGGTTTTCCATGTCTGTAAGGAGTGAAATTCATAAATTACCATTCGAGTTTAAAGAGGTTGACTGTAAATGTTACGTTTGAAGGAAATTGCCAACTGAAATATTGGATTTATAAAACATATTATTTTAAATTAATTAAAAGTTGACATTTTTCTCTCCTTCTATAATTAAAGAAAAATGACAATATATTTGCAGTCTACCTTTGTCGCTATAGCAACCATTTTATACATGCTAAATGTGTAATCAAAATGTCCTGAAATTTCAAGTAGTATTGCAATTCCCGACATTCCTTGAATCTCACGTTGCTTGAATGCCAACTCGCCAGTAGATGTCACTGCAAGATCCCCTTTCACACCGACGATGATGTGGTTTTGTTGAGTTCTGGCCGGGGTTGGGTTGAACTGCCAGCTGGGGGACTGTCGTGAACAGTCGCAGCGTTGGCTCCAGCCTCCTGCGCTCAATTCCTCGCTGGATGGGGAAGTCGGTCTGAATGAACAGTGAGAGGCATCTGCGCTGGAATAAGTATGGAAAAGATTAATTGAGAGACCGGAGAACCGACAAATCTGGACGAAAGAAGTGCCGACCAGAATGCCAACTGGAACAAAAGAGACTACTTCTTCTTCTTGTGTTCCGTCTATCGGTGAACAGAACTAACTAGCAGCTAAAAGCTAGCTAACCTACATTGCTGTCTTAACTAGCTCCGAAGACTCAGTTGCTTTTGTTTTTTCAATAAAGGCATATTTGAAGTGAGCTTTAGCTCTTTGGAGTTTGAGATTACATTACAACAGGGTGCTATAGTTAATAGTTCAGCATTAGCAACAGTTAAATTGGTAGACTGAGGAGGTTGATAGTTGGCTAGTTACCAGTTTTACTTAGCTCTTCGTGCTGGCGCTTGTTCAGCTGTTTCATATCTCACCAATGGAGTTATTTTAGTGTGGTTTTGTTCCTCAACAGCCACAACGAGCTTTCGTTCATACTTTTATGCTACACAAAAACCGTTTTTGCGTTTTATTTCTATCTTGGACTCAAACTGGATGAAGTGGATTATTTTTCCTGTTTACACTTGAAAGCATCCTTTTATTTTTTTGCTTTTGACTTAATCTCTGACTCTTCATCGCGATGGCAGCTGTGGTCAGCTACTCGCCACCTTGGTGGGTGAACCTGCTGCACAGACTTCCCCACTTCAACTTAAAGTTTCAGCAAACAAGCAGTGATTTCCAGCCAGAAGACTGGACATATCAGCAGGTAAAATCCCTCTCCACACACTCGCCTCATTTAATTGAGGGCAGTAGGATTAGGGCTTCCTTGGTGTACAGTTCACGGATCATGTTTGCGACCTGGAATTGAAGATTAATGGTTTATTGTGACAGGTTTGCACCTGTTTGTTCTGTTTACCCTGTGATCCATGTTACCATCTGTGTGAACCTATTCTATCCAGGCCAGGCCTTGGCCTTTTCCAGACACAAGCCAGTTTGGTGTGTATCCAAAACCATCCTGAAAGTACCTAAGAAACCACTTGTGTGATATGTTTTAATCACATCTATTACAGCATACATGAATATTTAAAAATATGGAGTCGCTCTGTAAATACAACAAACAAAGAAGAGGGACAACTAGTCAGATTAAGGTTACATTAATCTGACTTTTTTCACCAATGGGAACGGTCAAAGTGGAGTCTACACAGCTTGGTAATCAGCTAAGTCTGGGGGAGGGAAGAGGAGAGCTGGATTTGTTCACAAGTTCAGAAGAAATTATGCTTAGTTTTGAAAATCTGTAAGCAGAAGTTTGGTGTTGCTCAAATTCCTTGGACTTTGAATTATTCCCAGCAAGTCCTGAAGTTTATGTTTGACTCATTATGGTGTTAATTACCATGAATTTTTTAAAAATGTTCTGCATTGGTGACACATCCAGCTCAGCAGATTTTTTGCCCCAATGAGAAAATAAGGTTTTTAAGAAAACCTTTTAAATGGGGAAACTTTGTTTTTATTTTTAAAAAGGCAATAAAAAAGCTTTACTAAAAATATCTTTGAGCAAAACAACAATTAAAAAACTAATTTTAGATTAGAGTCAGTATGATTACAGAAAGGGCTTTTACATCACAGCTAGACTGCAGACAGTATTTGTGGGTTTTCTGGGAGACGAAGTCACAAGATGCATAGTTTCCTCTTTAAAAGGAAGAAATGATTCACAAAATGGAGAAGCAACTCATGGTTCCAGAGAAACAGGAAGATACTTCCCGGACACGCATTGGGGGTTTAATAGAGATGTGCTCAGTCTTGTACAGGTATGCAGGCTGGAAACGAAAACTAATCTTAAGGCGTGAAACAGTTTGTTGTCTTGTTTGGTCCTCCTTCACTTCATGTGGGCGTCTGGTGTTTGCTGCCAGCTCTGTTTATTTCCTTCAGGATTTAGTGAAAATGGTCAAGATGATCCACTTCTTTGCGTTATATAAGCCCTGTTCTGTCGCAGGTTATTGGATAGATGATGGATGACTTCACTATATGGTATGAACTTCATGGCTGACTTTTTTGGAGTATTTAAAAGCACATGTAGTTTAGCTGATAAAATATGTGATTTCTCTCCCATCACAGTTTTATCAGAGCAAACGTCGCTCTCCCACAGGCTCATCGCATAAATGATTATTGTTAACCTTCTGTGATGACATCCTGCTAATTACTGCTAACGCATCTCTCCCCCGCAGGCTTAAGAAGAGTTTCTACTCGTCCAGATGGCCGAGCTGTCATTGTTGCTTACAATGCAAACACTTCTTAATGATGCAACCTTGACTTACTGCTGTGTTGCAGGGATGTGCCCAAATTACAGTGCCTTTGCTTAGTCGTTTTCTGCTCCTTACTGAGCTCCACAGAGCAGCATGCAAATGCCAAGAAGTCATCCGGCTGCATCTGATCACCCCGTCTGTCACAATCGTGTGTCAAAGGTTAGCTCTTTAAAGGTTAGCTCAGCTCAGCTTTTAAGAACAGAATAAGTTCTCATATTGAAATCAGCAGTCGTTAAAACTATGTGTTAGTCACAACGAGTCATTGAAGGGATAAAAATGAAACAAGCAGGAGAAGGCAAGGTTTTGGAAGTCTGCCACAGATGTGTATCCTCAGGAGTCTGTAGCAAACACAGAAACCTGCCTGACCTACATAGTGTATGAAGTGTTGCTGTTGGCTTAGAGGTCTATCACTGTTCATCACGCAGCTGTAAGCATGAAAATACTGTCATTACAGTCTCATGAGTACTAGTGTTATTATTCAAGAAGCTCTTTTTTATGTTTTATATCTTTCAATAGTGTTCTTTTTACATATTTTCCCTCTGGTTGTGGTTTTTTTAAAGCATGTAACATGTTACAATGTTAAATACTATATTTAACATTGAAGCATTTAACATCTATTATGTTAAATGTGACACCCTCAATAAATAATTACTTATTATAATTTAGAATTTATTAATTATAACGGAAATTCTGATTATTTTTTTTTTTAAAGACCAATTTTGTTTACGCAATCTTCCAAATCATTTTATTTATGATTTCTGTTGTCAATAATTTTTATTTCCATTGTTTTGTTTTTGCTTGTTTTGTTTAAATTTTGGGGCTGTTTGAAATGTCTTCCAGCTCCACTGTTGTGTTCCTTAGAAATTGAAAGTTTATTGATTTTTAAGAGGCAAAGTTGTGTTATTACATCATTACCATTTACTTTAATATGGTCTGAAATCAACATCATAATTTATCACAATATAATCTAGCAAATTTTTTGCCACGACAGGGCTTGAACATACATGACTGCTGTTCTTGTTATAGCTGTAAATGTGTTTGTTGGTTTCAGGAAAAAAATAGGTCAGTCTATGAGAGCCTGATGATTTTTTTTTCTGATATATTTAGACATATGACTATTTAATATTACTATCAATGTAAGTAATTTAACCAAATTTATACTCGAGACCTTCTGTAATATTTGTGTACTATAAAAGAAGATGTACTTGAGGAATAGTAATGCTATCTTCACATTTTTCCCTCTTTATATTGCAAAAATCAGACAATGTCACATCAGGTCCATATGATTTGAACATTGTTGATCAACCTTTTGAAGTAAAAGTGAACACTGTGGGGGGATCAAAAGAGCAGTCTGTGGGCTTAAGAAGGAACTCTATAGAAGCTTTGAGTCTGGGAAGGTTTTAAAGAGGTTTTATGAGAACTTGAAATCAGCCTATTCGACTGAAGTTCTGTATAATGGCCTAGTTCTGCCACACCAAGCAAGTTCATTTTGCAAAATCCCTGAAAGAATACTGCAAAAAAATTTTAAGAAGTCTCCATAGACCCTAAAATGTAATGGCAGAACCCTCAGCAGACTGATATGAATGTGTAGACCACTAAGATTGGAGAGACAATCCACAAGTTGAACTTTCTTTGCAGATGTCCAGAAGAAAAAGGAAGAAGAAAAGCCACAAAAAAAAGGCCAGAATAAAGTTTTCCAGAGAGAACATAGACCAGGACTATAATGTTCTTTGTACACCAAAACCGAGAACCAACTGGGCTTGAACTAAATTATATATTCCATGAAAAGAACCTGAAATCAGCTATGAAGCGTAGAGGTGTTCTGGTTTAGGCATGGCTTTCTGCAGCAGGACCTGACTAGCTCACAGTCATAGCAGCAATAAATTTTCCCATTTGCAGCAGGACTGTTCACTGCAAACGTACTATGGACTGGTTTAAAATTAAGAAATGTAAATTATTATAATAAAACATAGGACACATTCTCATCACGTATTCCAAAATGATCGTCTTTGTTATTGACATAAAGACTAGTTCTCATAACTCTGCTCCTCTTTCCTTTAGTCCATCTTGTTGCTGGGGGGTTTGGCGCTTGCCTGTTTGGTTCTGGACCTCGTTTTTCTCCTCTTCTACTCCATTTGGCTTTGCTGCCGGCGCAGCAAAACCTCTGAACAGCCCAACGCCGACTGCTGCTGCACAGCCTGGTGCGTCATCATCGCAACACTCGTGTGCAGGTGAGTGCAAACACATGACCGTGCTGGCGATGGTTCAGTCCACAAATTCAAGTTGCCAAGCATAATTAGCTTTTAATTTCACCCACGCTCATGATTCACTGTGTTATATTGCACTTTGATGTCACCACATGCTTGTGTCTTATAGCCCCATGATCACGGCAAGTGTTTAACACGCTGTCGGATTTTCAGATTCTCAAGCATGAAAGAATCCATCTTGCCAGATTCCACTTTAATTAAGACGTAAATGTTTTAACCAGGCAGTGTTTTCCTCACTCGAACGTCAGCTGAACAGTATTGTTTGGTTGCAAGGATATGGATATAATTTTCACAAATATACCTGCTTTATGTTTACCTCTGTGCTAATTTTCTTTACTTTAGTGGCTTTTTTATGTAATTGAGTAAAAAGGTGCGAGATTTTCACATCTGCTCTTGTTTTCTGTCCTTGAACACATAGTTGGTTTCCTGTTTTCGTCCTCCTGTTGATGGGCTTCCAGAGAGCCACCGCAGTTGATTCAGAGTAGCACAAAGAGCTCAGGGACCCAATGAGTACAAGAACTGCATCGCAATCGCTGCGTCTCTGTGCACTTGTACCCACACGTTACTGTTCTAGCCAAAATAGGAAAGGGGGGAAAAAAAGGTTAACACTATCAGTTTAGTGTCAGTGCTTTGTTTGGCTTATATTTCTTTTGCTTCTTTACATTTAGTCTGTTGTCTTTTTACCTGAAAAAATCTCTTTAAATGTTTTCCTGACTCCTTTCCAAATATAAAAATAATGTGTAGGTTCATATGACATCAGAAAATATAATTTGTTTTTTATTTTATTTTTACTCACCATACTGACAGGAAGAGATTAGCAGCCATACAGGAAGAAGGAAAAACCCCAGCTCCCATGTGGTCTGTCAATTTATCCATGTTAGTGCAAGATTGTAGGAATTTGCTTGTCCTTAATGCATTTGTTGAGACTAACTCATATACTGTTTACCATATTGTCACTACAAGCAAGCAAATTGTAGACAAGTTCAAGTAATATTAACTTTCGAATGAACAGATAATAATGTAACTCTAAATTAAGACACCACTGCACAATTGTGTAAAGTAAGTACATCTTTTTTTTGTTCCTCTACCTTCAGAAATTGCTGTTCATGTAGCTGCCTCAGCCGTTTGAGGCCTGTCACAGCCGATGAGAGCTGATCTACTGCCTCAGTGCAGCCTTTGTCAGGCTTAGCGTGGGGTTTTGGGCCATTGCTGGTCCATTCCTCTGTGTTTCTATGGTTCTCTATAGGGTCTTTCTGCTGAGGCTGAAAGGAGCCCGTTGACGGGGGTCCGAACCGACAGGGTTAAAACAGAGTTCACATGCCTCTCACCCTGTTTGGCTGTCCCCCGCACTTGGTTTCTTCTCTGTCTCCTCTCTGTGTCTCTTTTTTACCAATTCCTCCTCCTCACTAGCAAGTCTCTCCTCCTCCTTTTTTGTCTCCCCTCAGTGCTGGCATAGCTGTCGGTTTCTATGGGAATGGCGAGACTTGCGATGGAGTGAATCGACTGACGTATTCCCTCCGCCATGCTAACCGCACAATCACTGGAGTCCAAAAGCTGGTAAGACCACAAGGACAGTCATATGGACATGTCTAAATAATTCAACATTCTTCTGCTGTGAGCATCTGTGGTTTCATTTCCACTTTGCTGTGAAATCCAGTATTTTTTCCCTCTGAACCCAATCGTGTCCTCATATGTCCATGTGTTTTGCGCTAGGTATATGATAGTACGTCGTCGTTGAACCAGACAGTGGACAAGAATCTGCAACAGCTTGAGGGCCAGTATGCTCAGCATGCAGACTACCTCTCCATCATCCAAAAGCTGCAGGGCCAACTGGATGAGCTAGTCAGGCAGATGGTTGAGATTCCTTTCTGGGACAACAACCTAATTTCTTTGGAAGATTTGTCCACCAGTATCGAACTGTATGACTGGTATAGGTAAGACCGTAATAGTGCACTCCACAGAATAGCAGACGTTATTAGGCCCGAGCAGCTAAGCGCTGCGAAGGCCTATTGTTTTCCTATTGTTAGGCCCGAGCAGCTAAGCGCTGCGAAGGCCTATTGTTTTCCTACTGTTTATTATTATTATTATTATTATTATTAGGCCCGAGCAGCTAAGCGCTGCGAAGGCCTATTGTTTTTCCTATTGTTTATTATTATTATTATTATTATTCTTCCACCCAAATGAATTGGCTTTTTGGGGGCTTTATCATATTCAAAAACTCACCAAACTTGGCGGAGGCCTTAAGCCTGTTTAAAATTTACGTATTTTAAAGTCGTAGCAAAAATTGCAACAGAAATGTCTCTACGGCGCCACCTAGAAATTGGAAAAACACCCTTTTTTACCCTCTGCTATTCACTTACTTTATCGTAGACACATGAAATTTGGTACACTTGTAGAACTCCCCAAGACGCTCAAAATTTACAATTAATGTCATAGTGCAAGTATCACAGGAAGTCAGCCATTTTTGATTGAAGTTCCCATTTTGACCCCATTTTTGCCGATTTTTGCCATTTACAGCCTTTGTATTTGATCTATCTCCTCCTAGGGATTTTGATTGATCGACTTCAAACTCGGTCAGTCTGTTCATAAGGCATGTCCCATCTAAAGTTATCTAAACGGTGAGTTTTTGAGTATGCTGAATGGGGGTTAGCAGGGGTCAAAGTTCACCTACTCGCCATAAAAAAATAAGCTGCTATATCTCTTACACAGAAACTCACAGAAGCATCAAAGTTTCTGTGATTGATCATCATCGGGTGTCCTACAATACCCTATGGTCGAATGATGACATCACTTAGGCCACGCCCCCTGAGAACAGGAAGTGTAATGTTTTACTGTGAACTGTCGCTATCTGACCCCTTTGACCTCATCAACATGAAACTGTGCCCAGACACAGAGAACATGTTGGTGTATTGAGGATTCTAACCCCGACCAGCTTCGATGGAGCAGGTGGGCGTGGTGGCGTGGCGAAGTCACCTGTAACGCCATCGCCATACGTTTGGCTCTCAATTCCACATTTTCGGGCCCAGCTGCTGCAAACTCATAAGGATGGACCCTCATCCACTCCCCAACAGGAATCCATCACAATATTTGGTGGGCGTAGCCTAATTTCTCTATAGCGCCCCCTAGAAAACTTTAAATGATCAGCCCCAAGCCATGCTTTAACCTACAAATACGAAACTTTGTACACATGTGTACCTTGTCAGGACGTACAAAAAAGTCTCTCGGAGCCATGGTCTAAACCCCACAGGAAGTCGGCCATTTTAGATTGAAGTTCAAATTTTGACCCCATTTTTGCCATTTACAGCCTTGGTATTTGATCGAACTCCTCCTAGGGATTTCGATTGATCGGCTTCAAACTCGGTCAGTCTGTTCATAAGGCATGTCTCATCTAAAGTTATCTAAATGGTGAGTTTTTGAGTATGCTGAAGGGGGGTTAGCAGGGGTCAAAGTTCACCTACTCGCCATAAAAACATAAACTGCTATATCTCCTACACAGAAACTCACAGAGGCACCAAAGTTTCTGTGATTGATCATCATCGGGTTTCCTACATTACCCTATGGTCGAATGATGACATCACTTAGGCCACGCCCCCTGAGAACAGGAAGTGTAATGTTTTACTGTGAACTGTCGCTATCCGACCCCTTTGACCTCATCAACATGAAACTGTGCCAAGACACAGAACACATGTTGGTGTATTGAGGATTCCAACCCCCACCAGCTACGATAGAGCAGGTGGGCATGGCGGCATGGCGAAGTTACCTGTAACGCCATCGCCATACGTTTGGCTCTCAATACCACATTTTCGGGCTCAGCTGCTGCAAACTCACAAGGATGAATATTTATCCACTCCCCGACTGGAATCCATCACAATATTTGTAGGGCGTGGCCTAATTTCTCTATAGCGCCCCCTAGAAAACAGCAGCCCATAGGTTATGTTGTTATTAATTATTTAAATATACATTATTATAACTTTTTATATATATATAAGTTTATTTTGTGGGTTAAAGTACAAACATTCATTCATTTTTGCTAGAAATAATACAAACAAAGTCATTCAGCAAAACTTATGACACAGCGAAGTAAGAACACACTGGGGTCAGTGTTGATGGAGTACTACTGGCACCTTGTGGAGAAATACTGGTGCTGCTAGTGCAATACCAGTATTGCGACAGCAGGAGGCAGTGGTACTCCATCAATGAGAAAACAGATCGACGATACGTAATAACAGTCAGCTGGCGACAGCTGGAGCTGCAAAGTTTTCCTGAACATTTTGCTTGCTTTTTGGAGCCACAGAACTGGACTACGCTCAACATTTTGCTTGGATTTTGGAGTTGCAAAAACGAACCACGCTTTGGAGCAAGAAGGCTCTGTTGGACCGGAGTTGGAGAAGTTTAATGGGCTATTTGCACCTCAGCTTACACGTTCGGAAAAAACGGCTGAAATGTTTTTCCAAGGTAACAATTAATAATGTACATCGATCCGAAACCCCAACAAGTAAGGCAAAGAAAGGTTTTAAGATGTTCGCCTCGTTATACATTCACAGATATGAAGGTGAGTTTTATTTTCTTTAAACTGCTAGCACAAGCCTGCTAGCTTTCTAGTAAAAATCTGCTATTTAATTATCTAAAGATTTCTCAGCCATTCTAACGGACACTGTTTGTGCCTTATTTTCAAGCATATTACGTGTGTTTATTGTTAACGACAATAAAGCAGCGGGGAGGGGGGCCAGATTACAGTTCAGAGTTTTTGCTTGAAGTATGAAGAACAAAAACGAGCACAGAGCTTACTCTGGTATCGGAGTTCTAGTTCAGCTGACTGTTCAGATTCAGAGTTATTACTTTTAGAAAATATGGCCGTGTTGCTTAAGATTTCTGTGTTATTTCATTTTATTACTTTTGCATGCTTGTTGTGAATGGCTCATTAAGACAGTGCTTAGAGCGGTGTGTACGGCGTTAGCTTCAAGTGGTAGCTTTAACTTGTAGCAACGAATATTTACAAGCTGTCTTAATTGAGGATGGCTTGGAAATCCATGAAAACTTAAACAAAGTACATAGTATTGTTTTATTTGTGTCTTAAGTACGACTTTGTCTTTTATAGCAGTCATAGTTTCTGAAAGTGGAAAAAAGAGCCGCATTCGGGTATACAGTTGTGACGTCAGCGCGGCAGGTGCTGTTCGTTTAAACAGTCGTAACTCGCGGTGCGGTGAGTAATTTATTCCTTCCTGCTGGTTCTGGAAGCCGTCATGTTTGGAACAGTTATTCTGAGGAGGATGCTAACCCAATGCCTGAGGCCTGCAACGTTTTTAATGCTAACGAAGCGCTTTACTAATTCAATAAACTGAATAGTGTGTGTGATACATCCAGTTTCATACATTCAGAGTTGTTTGTTATTATGTATAGAAGATGTTTAAAATGTCGTTTGAAAGAGCTCTGAGAAAATGCTAAGTATCTTTTACCGATCCATTGGGGTTGTAATATTTAGTTGCAGCACTTCCTGTGATTAATACCTAATTAATGGATGGGATTCAGCCTGTGCTATTGTTCTAATGTGCTGAAAGTTAACTGTGCTCTCTTAATGTGCATTGCGCTTGGTTTATTACTGAACAGTGCGGTTTATTAAACTGATACATCTTAACCTTCACCATTTTCCTGACTCATTTCACGATAACGTCAAAGTTGCACTGCATTTAGATCTCAGTTGTAGTTCACATCAAGCATGTGGGTGTGGCTTAGTGTAAAACTTTCACTATTTACCATGAAACATCAACATTAAATGACTTCCAAATGCAAGATCACAGCTGCATCACACTTCCTCTGTCTTTCTAGAGAACAGCCCTGAACACATTTCCATGGTCACTTGATGACCTCACTGTAGCCCCGCCCACTTTTACGAGGCAGTCACATGTTTTTTCTGCTGTATGTTTTACTGTTATTCTATAATTTATATGGATTTCATCATGTGAATACTGACTAAAAACGATAACATGATGAACTCTATGAATGCTGGCTGCTGATCGAACCGCATTGGGGTGTAGAAATGACGAAATGCATTACTTCGCCATGTGCATATGATCGGCTCTAAATGACACGTGGATCATCGGACTGGTGCCAAATTGGATACGTATGAACTTTGTTGACCTCTAAAGAGCAAAACAGCATTGAAATGTATTTTGGCTCCACTGCGCCCCTACATTAATCCGCCAGCTATATTTCCTCGCTAAACCAATGAATCTATACCACATTTTTTTGCATCGTGAAGGATAGCCGCCGAACGCACAGATGCGTACCGCCTGGTGGACAGGCGCGGAAACTGCGCAACAACATCTGTCTTAGCACGTGCGCAGCGTTGATGGAAACTGAGCAACAGCTTCCGCGGTGCGGGCGGAGGCGCTGAAAACTGCGTGAGAGCTTCTGTAGTGGCTGGCGTGAGGCGTCGGTTGCTTGTACCCCGCGGTGGCAATAGGCCGGAGCGGCGCTTGGCTGCGAGGGCCGTTCGAGGCTGCTTGCAGCTTTAATTATTATTATTATTATTATTATTTTTCTTCCCACCTCTTTGGGGGGCTTTTGGGGGCCTTATCATATTGGAAAACTCACCAAACTTGGCGGAGGCCTTAAGCCTGTTTAAAAATTTTGATTTTTACGGCCATCACAAAAATCCCACAAGAAATGGCTCAATAGCGCCACCTAGAAATTTTCAAAGGACCCTTTGCTATTCACTTACTTTATCCTAGAGACATGAAATTTGGTACACTTGTAGAGCTCCCCAGGACGCTCAAAATTTACAATTAATGTCATAGTGCAAGTATCACAGGAAGTCAGCCATTTTGGATTGAAGGTCCAATTTTGAGGCCATTTTTGCCATTTACAGCCTCCGTATTTGATCGAACTCCTCCTAGGGATTTTGATTGATCGGCTTCAAACTCGGTCAGTCTGT